TGTGAAGGATTTCAGTTTTTGACCATTTAGTATGATATTGGCTGTTGGTTTTTCACAGATGGCTTTTATCAGATTGAGGTAGAGACCATCTATTCCAATTTTTTGTAGAGTTTATATCATAAATGCATGTTGTATTTTGTCAAATGCTTTTTCTGCATCTATTGAGATGATCATGTGGTTTTTGTCCTTGGCTGCATTGATATAGTTTATTTCATTTATTGATTTGTGTATGTTGAACCATCCCTGCATTCCTGGGATGAATCCCACTTGGTCAGGGTGTATGATCTTCTTCATGATCTTATGCATTCTATTTGCCAGTATCTTAGTAAGGATTTTTTTGCATCTATATTCATTAGTGAGATTGGCCTATAGTTCTCTTTTTTGGTTGGGTCTTTCTCTGCTTTGAGGATCAAGGTAATCCTTGCTTCCAGGAATGAATTCAAGAGTATTGCTTCCCTTTCAATTTCACTGAAGAGTTTAAACAGTGGTGACAGTAATTCCTCTCTAAATGTCTTGTAGAATTCAGTGGTGAAGCCACGAGGCCCAGGCTTTTCTTAGTTGGTAAGTTTTTAATTATATTTTCAATGTCATTCATTGATATTGGGTTGTTTAGAATTTTTAGGTTTTCTTCATTCAACTTTGGTAATTCATACATGTCTAGGAATCTGTCCATTTCTTCTGTGTTTTCTATCTTATTGGTGTATAGGTTCTTGAAGTAGGTATTAATGATCCTCTGGATTTCTGCTGGGTGTGTTGTAATTTCACCCTTTTCATTCCCAATTGCATGGATTTAGGCCTTTTCTTTCCATGCTGCTCTGGTCTATGTGGGCTTCTTGCTGGCGTTTGCATGCACTTACATATGGTATCTGGCGGGCCTCTGGCTGCTGTTTGGGCCTGACCTCTTGAGATCAGACAAGAAGTAGAAGAATCAGAAAATCAGAAATTGACCTTAGACTACTCCTCTAAATTCTCTCCCCTTTTGCTATTGAAAGATCAGAAAAATGGCCAATGGTTAAAGCCAAGATGGTAAGCCAAATCTTGGGAGAGTCTATTGCTCATTTAATTTCCAGTCATCAAACATCGAGTACCTACTGCAAAGATGATGCGAGTTTATGTTATTACAGTGAAAAAAGTGGGGTCCCAACCTACTCCTCCAATGTGGAGTGGGACACGGAATACTCAGTGCATATGGAAATACAGTGCCACAGGAGCTAGCACAGCCCAGGATGCCACAGGAGAGGGAAGAGTAGACTTAGAGCTCGACCCATGAGAGTGGAAAGAGTAGGTGATTTTTAAGATGAGAGATCAATATTATTAGATATTAGACAAAGCAAGAGAGGGAAGGGATAGTTCCATGCAAATGTCCTGAGGTAAAAGAGGAAAGCAGGATTAATTTTAATATTTATGGATAAAGATATCATGGGGGGGATGGGATTATTGAGAAAGTTAAGTGCTGTCTTACAAAGCTTCACTCTCAAACTGAGTTTCATGTGGAATCACTGGTGAATTTTCTTTCTTTTTCTTTATCTTTTAAAGGTTTAATTTATATAAAGTTTTTTTACATATTTAGTATATACATTTTGATGAGTTTGGACATATGCCTATATCCATGATGTTGTCACTCCAATCAATGTCTTAAATATATCCACCACATCCAAGAAACTTTGTGTTCTTTACTATGAGTATGAATTTTTTTATGTTTGGGTTTTTGTAAGAACATTTAATGTGGGAGTAACTCTCTCGGGGTAATTTGAATAGTGCTCAGCACCGTATTGCTTTGGTATAGGTGCACTCTTTCTGTAAGGTGTGTGTCTTACCTATAAATGTATAAGACACCAAACTAAAACTCCTTGAAGAGAAGTAAGAGATAAGCTTCTTTACACTGCTTTTGGCAGTTACTTCTTGGATTTGACATAAAAATCACAAGCAACAAACTAAAATCTAGACAAGTCAGATTACATCAAACTAAAATGCTTCTGCACAGCACAGGAAACAAAGTGGAAAGGCAACTTACAGAGGGGGATAAAATATTTACCAGTCCCTCTGTTGATAGGTTAATATCCAAAATATATAAGAATTTCCTCAAGCTCAATGAAAAAAGTAACTAACTCAATTTAAAAGTGAGTAAACGCTTGAAACTCTTGTTCTTCAAGAGAACATACAAACAACTCCCAGCTACATGCAATGTGCTCAGTTTCACGAATTATCAGGAAAATGCAGATGGAAACTACATGAGACATCATACAGTATCTGTTAGAATAGCTACTAACATAATAAAAACGGTAACAGGTGTTCATAAGAATGAGGAGAAATTGGAACATTTATATACTATGATGTGAAGGTAGAATTGTACATTCACCATGGAAAAATTATGGAAGTTCTTTAAAAAATAAAAAAATAGGGGAACACATGATCTATCAATCCCATATCTATGTTTATATCCAAAAAACTGAAATCAGGATTTGAAGGTATATCTATCTACACTCTCAATGTTCATTGCACATCAGCCACGATATTGAGGCAATCCAAATGGCAATCAATAGAGGAAAAATAGAGAAAAAGTGATATATATATATATATATATATATATATTTCAGCATATAAAAAGAAAGAAATCCAGGTGTTTGCATTAAGGTAACCACAGAAAGATAAATACCATGTGATTCCATCTATATGAGGTAGCTAAAATAATCCAAGTTACAGAAGCAGAAAAGAGAATGGTGGTGGGCAGTCGTTGGTAAGGGGGAAATAGGGAATTGCTGCTCAATTTGTAAAGCGTCTCAGTAAAATGAGATATTGTATTCTGGAGAGCTTCTGTCATGAGATTTAAACAGGGTTGAGACATAATTCTACTGGAATTTTAAAAAATATTCTGACTTCTTGTCAAATATGACAAGTCACATACATGTATTTTTCTCCACTTGATCTTAAAATCTCAGCAACATGGCAAAATTTAAAAGGTGGAAAATCCAAAACATAAGATAGATTGAGAGAGAAGACAATACTAAATGAGAAATAGCTACAAATATTTTTTTTGAAAGTGAATAGCACACAAATATTAGTAACTGACATACAGATGAGATGACAGGTCTAGGAATCTGCAAGTGAAGACACCTATAAGACACAAGGTAATTTATAGCACAAACCTGGAAAAACTTGGGAAGTGGATACACAAGCTCCCTTGAAAGCAAAGGTAGATACTAAGCTAGACTCACAAATAAATGACTGAATATATAAATTAATGAATAAAAAATTTTAACATTGTATTTGTTGATCGCATCACATACACATCTGACTTTTTTAAAAAATTCCACTTATAAGTAAGATCATATTGTATTTTTCATTCTTTATTTCACTTACATAATTTCATGCAGGGTCATCCATGTAGTTACAAATGGCAGAATCCCCTACTTTAAGGTTGAATAATATTCCCTTGTGTGTTTATACTTGATCTTAGCCGAAAGGCCGAGAAGCGATTGTGTGTTTATAATTTATGTCTCCATTCACCCGCCAATGAACACTTGAGTTATTCCCTTATCTTGTGATTGCGAATAATGTTGTAATCAACTTGAAAGTGCAAGTATCTCCTTAGATCCTGATTTCATTTCCTTTGGGTATACACTCAATATAACAGTCAGCTTTTCTTTTGCTGGGAAAAAATATCCGAAACCCACAATTTAGAGGAGAGGTTTCAGTCCGCGGTCAGCTGGCTCATGGTGGAAAAGCATTGCAAAGGAAAGTTGCTCACCTCCTGGCAATCAGAGAGCAGAGAGATGGGAGCTGGAGGCAAGAATATGCACTTCCGGGTAACTCCAAGTAACTCACCTCCAACCAGGCCCCACCTCCTAATAGCACATTCATCCATGAACTCATCAGTGGGTCAGTCCACTGACGAATGTAGCACACCTAGGATCCAACCATCTTCCCGAAGCCCTAGCCCTGAGAACATGAGACTTTTGTGGGACATTTGAAATCTAAATCACAACATCCAAAAGTGGGATTGCTATTTCCCACCTTGACACTGGCCTCAGCAATGATATTTTGGACAACACACCAAGAGTTAAAGCGGCAAAAGAAAAAAAAAATTAGACTAACGGGATTTTATCAAACCAAGAACTCTGAGCAGGAAATGAAACAACAAAATGAAAACCTGTCTATGGATTGGGAGAAAGTATTTGTGAAAAATATATCTGGTGAGGGATGAATACACAAAAGATATAAGAAACTCAAACAACTCAATAGCAACAAAACAGAGCAAAGAAAGCACGACACACACACGCGGGTGATCAAATGGGCAAAGGATCTGAATGGACATCTTTCTAGAGGACATCCACAAGGCAGAGGTGCATGAAAAAGCGCGCAGCGTCACTAGTCAGGGAAACGCAAACCACAATGAACTATCACCTCGCAGCAAAAAGGCGGCAAGTGTTGCTCTGGAGAAAAGGGAATACTCGGGCGCGGTTGGTTGGAATCTAAGTTAGTACAGCTCTTACGGAAAGCAACACGAAGGATCCTCAAAAACATTACCATTGAAACATAAAAACATTAAAACTAGACGACTTGGGCTTCTCAGCTCTTTGTGGAGTAGAGCCCTCTGTCTAAAGTGATTGCCACGGCCCAGGCCAGGCCCGGGAGCCTGCTTCGGGAGCTCGGGGGTGAAGCAGAGCTGGGCCGAGCAGGCGAGGACCGGACGCGAGCGGGGCACAGGAAGCGCCCGCGAGTGCCTCTGGTCCTCCCCGGCCCGCCCCCGGCCCGCCCAGGCGGCGATCGGGCAGTTCCGGGTCCTGTGACTGCTGCCTGGGAGGGTGAGCCGGCTGCCCCTGGGACGTTTCCGCCGCGTCCCCGACCGATCGCGCTGCCCCGAGGGCGCGGCGGGGCCCGGCGCGGAGCCCATGGCCGGCGGGGCAGCCGGGGAGCCGGGGGCGGCGGCCTCTGCGGCGCCCGAGACCCGCGAACACCTCTTCAAGGTGCTGGTCATCGGCGAGCTCGGCGTGGGCAAGACCAGCATCATCAAGCGCTACGTGCACCAGCTCTTCTCGCAGCACTACCGCGCCACCATCGGCGTGGACTTCGCCCTCAAGGTGCTGAGCTGGGACAGCCGGACCCTGGTGCGCCTGCAGCTCTGGGACATCGCGGGTAAGCGCGCCTGGGACCCGTCCGCGCCGGGCGTTCGCCGGCTGCGTCCGCCGGCTGCGTCCGCCCCCGAGTTCCTGACCGTGTCCTCTGCCTGAACTCCCTGCCTGCGTGCTTTTCGAAGCACTGGGACGCGGGAAAAGCGAGGTGCAGCTGATCGTGGTGCGGGGGGGGGGGGTGTCACACGCTGGACCAGGTCGCGGAGGCCTTTCCGGGCAGGCTCAGGTCAAGGCACACAGCGCAGCTCCGCGTGCGGCCCTGCTAAGGCCTGGGAAGCCCCTGGTCCTGCAGATCGGGAGGCAGAGACAGTCCTGGGCCATCCCTGCCCGGCTGGAGGCCAGGAAGCCCGAGAGCCTGGCCAGAAGTTTGAACTCTGAGTGATGCCAAGATTATAAAACACCGGGACAAGCTGGGCTGGGGCGGGAGAGCCCACGCGAGGGACGGGTGGCTCAGTGTGTGTGTGTTGGGGGGGGGGGTGTTCCCCTCCTTCAGCTGCCACCGACGTTCACACCCAAAGGTGGCCCCCTCGGAAGGGGCACAGACCAAACTGAAACTCGGTTCCCTTCCAGCAGTTTTTCTTCTTCACCCACCCTGGATCTGGTCCTGTGGTTTTGTGAGGGCTTTTTCCTGACAAGGAGGTGGGGAGCCAGGAAGACTACTCCAGAAGTTTTAACTGTGGCTCACGATAATAAACCCGGAAGAGTAAGAAGAGCTTGGCTCTGAGCCCGGCCTTAGTGAGGGAAAGTCCCCTCCTAAATAGTTGTTCTTCACGCTGGGGAAGATCTGGAAAATTTCCCTGGAACTTTATACCCTTGTTTCCCTCCATCCACCAGCGTCTACGTCTACCCCTAACCCCAGCCCCTCCTCCCCATCCCACAATTCCTGCCTTGTCTCCATGGCTTTGTGTTTAGTTGTCACTCTGGAATATAAAAAATCATTGTCTCCGAGGGACGTTCTCCTTACTGACATTTAAAAATTGCACTCTGGCCGGGGTGGAGGGTGGGATGTGGACATTTAAAGGTAGGTGAACCATTGGGATGTTTAATGATGAAAATGGTAGCGAAGGTTACCCTGTTCGTAAGTGAAGCTCAGTGTGCCATAGGTCATTTGAGTGGGAGCACATTTAGGGTGAGAGGCACCTTACCTTAGCATCCTTCCTATAAGGGGTACCCCGAAACCCATGGAGGATACAGCTCCCTAGCTGAGATCAGAGCGGGGGGACCCATGGCTGCTGTGTTCCAGATAGTGCTGTCTTCATGGAGCCTGGTTCATGGAGCAAGTGTTGAAGAATTACAGACTTTACACTCATAAGAGCAGATTTAGGCTTCAAATAAGACAGTGCATTCATGAACACAAACTCCTCAAAGAGATGATAATCAGCCTTGGGGGGGGGTCAACATTTTTGGGGTGGGTTTCTAAAAACCAAAAGTACGTTTGAAAAGTCATCTTTGAACCCAGTCTTCTTTCGAAACACTTCCTGCTGTTCCCCAGAGGTGTAGTGAACATTTTACTGCCTCTTGAAAAGCGTGCATTCTGAAGTTGCCTTACCATGTGATAAGCACCATGCAGGAGTCTTGGGTGTACCCTTTCCACGAGAATGACTCAGCCCTCTCATAGAAGTGGGATTGACTTTGTCTCCTTTATGTAAATTAACATGGTATTTAGATGTTAAATTACAGTGGACTCCTACTGCAGATAAATGAGTATGAAAAATGAAACTTTTATGGCGTGTATATTTTTAAGCATCATGGTAAAATGCTTTTATTTGGAGACTTAAGAGAACAAAAGTCCAAGTAAGAGTTTTTTTCCTGGGTATCGCCCCTTCTGTTTTTATCATTGTTTTCTTGTGAGTGTGTGTGCATGTGTGTAATAGCGGGAATTGAACCTAGGGCCTTTGTACTCTCTTCCAGCCATTTTTAATTTTTTGTTTTGTTTTGTTTTTTGAGACAAGTCCTTGCTAAATTGCCCAGGCTGGACTCAAACTTAGGATCCTCCTGCCTCAAGGTCCCAGAGTACAGGGATTACAGGTCTGCGCCACCATGCCTGGCTCTTTTAATCATTCTTGAACAGATCTAGATAACCAGCAGTAAGACTTACTCTATCTTTATCATATTGCTAGACACCTGCCAAGATAAGATATCTTTACACTTTCGCCTAAATCCAAAGCATAAGCTTTGCCAGAAAGGAAAGCAGCATTTTACAATCTCCAAAAGGCATTTCTGCTTGCTAGCTACTGTTGTTTCAGTGAGAACTGTTGTACCATTTAGAAGGTATATATCAGTAATTGATAACACTAGAAGTCAACTTCTGAGATCATTAGAAATTATTAGTTTCTTTTAGTAAGATTATGAGAGATGGAGTCAATATCAGGATAACAAGGGACAAAAATGACTTAGACTTAAGCTAGACTTTGGGGAGGTACATCATAACTGCTTGGTTTGAATATTTGAGCTGTTGGTGAGTAAAGTAAGATTGACGTAATGCAGGGCATTCCAGAAATTTTTTCCTCAGCCCTACATGTTAGTCTAATACTGAATTCTCAAAGAATATAAATATTCCTTGATTGCAAAACAGGAGGTGAAGCCAGCCACTCGATATGACTAATTTAAGATTTGGTGTTATTACTAGCTTGTTTTTGCTTTTGTTGTTTTGGAGGCCTTGTAGGAGAACATGATCATAAAGAAATTATGTCAACAATCTCTATTCTAGAGAGCTTTAGCAAGTGTAATAGGCAATCGTTGTTGAATGTTTCCTGTAAATGTAGCCAAGCAAATTTAGCTAAACTCTTCAAATTAAGAACCACAGTAACTTTCAGATAGAGGCCTTAAAAAAATCTTTCTCATGGCATTGAAAGAACTTATTTTTAAAATAAAGATATACTTTAATGCCATTTTTATATGAAACAATTGTTGCATTTTAAATTCATACTTACTTTGAGACTGTTGTTTGATAATAACTGAGATATGTTAACATGGTTAAGTCTTGAATAAGATTTTAAAGCACGTTTAATAAACACACACTAACATTAAGATGTAGCTGGAGAGGTCTCTGATTTTCTTTTAATGTTTAGTAGGGGTAAAGTATTGAGGTTATCACAAATTGTGAGCTTATTGCTTAACAGCAATGATAGAATTTTCCAGGCAGGTTAAATGGCTAATCTAAATAAATCCTTAAATATATCCACTTAGATCTACTGTACTTTAGACTTGATCTGCCGTACTTTAGACTTGATGTATTGATTGAAGGGAGTTGTAACAACACTTTGAGCAATCAAATTCGGAATAATTTGCTTTGAAAAAAGTTCATGTAGTAATTTTTACCGAAGCACAAAATGCATGCTTGGAAGACCTTATAAACTATATAAGCTATATTTAAATTCATTTTTATCATTTTAATTCCAGTCCTAATGCAGAAGGTGGACCCTGATTTTCTTTTTCCACTTTGTACTTTGCCAATTAGTATACCTGATAATCTCCTGTCTTCTTTCATAACTCTCTTTTAAACATTCATGAAAAAGAATCAGGAGTACTACGGAGATCCTTTACTGATCTTCGAATTATCACTGTGGATAGCCAGTGCTGTGGTTTACATCTGGATGACCCTCCAAAGCCTTTTTTGGTAAATTTTTTTTTTTGGTCCCGGGGATCAAACTCAGGTCCTTGCGCTTGTGCAGCAGGCGGCAAAACCACTGAGCTAAATCTCCAGCCCTATTGGTAAATTTTTAATTATGTTTTCAATTTCACTGATTGTAATTGGGGTGTTATGTATATAGAAATCTGTCCATTTCTTCTATTTTATTAGAGTACAGGTTCTCGAAGTAGGTATTGATGATCCTCTGGATTTCTGCTGGATCTGTTGTGACTTCACCTTTTTCATTCCTAATTGCATGTATTTGAGCCTTCTCTTTCCTTTTCTTGATAAGGTTGGCTAAGGGTTTATCCATTTTATTTATTTTTTCGAAAAACCAACTGTTTGATTCATTGATTTTTTGTATCATTCTCTTAGTCTCCATTGCATTGATTTCTGCTCTGATCTTTATAATTTCCTCCCTTGTATGAGCTTTGGGTTTGTCTTCCTCTTCTTTTTCTAGGAGCTTAAGGTTCAGCATTGGTTGTCTATTTGAGCTTGCTCTGTTTTCCTGGTGTGGGCATTCACTGCTATGAATTTATCTGATAGAACTGCTTTCATTGCGCCCCATAGATTCCTGTTTGTTGTACTGGCATTATTGTTTAATCACAGAAGCTGTCTAATTTCTTCTTTAATTTCCTATGTGACCCATTTGTTGTTCAGGAGAGTGTTATTCAATTTCAATGTGTTTGTGAAGTTCTTGCAGTTTCTTATGCTATTGATCTCCAGTTTAATTGCCCTATGGTCTGATAATGTACACAGGATAACTTCAATTCCTTTGCATTTACTTAAACATGTTCTATGAACTAGTATGTGGTCTATTTTGGAGAATGACCTGTGTGCAGCTGAAAAGGATGTATACTCTGATTTTGTGGGTGAACACTCTGTAGACGTCTCTTAAATCCATTTGTTCATAAGTTTGGTTCAGTTCTAGTATTTCATTGTTGATTTTTTTGTCTAGATGATCTGTCTATTTGTGATGGTGGCTTGTTGAGGTCCCCCACTACAATTATATTAGTGCTTATTTGGTTTTTCATGTCCATTAAAATTTGTTTTGTATAGCTGGGAGCATTCGTATTTTGTGCGTATATATTTATGATTGTCATCTCTTCCTCTTGGATTGTTCCCTTTACAAGGATGTAGTGACCTTCTTTGTCTCTCTTAATTAGTTTTGGTTTGAAATTTACTTTGTCTCTAAATAAGATAGCTACCCCTGATTTTTTCCGAGTTTCTGTCACATGGAAAACTGTTTTCCATCCTTTTACTTTCAATCTATGAGTTTCTTTTTGAAGCAGGTGCATTTCTTGTATACAGCATATTGTTGGATTTTGCTTCTTAATACATTCTGACAGCCTGTTTCTTTTGATTGGTGAGTT